AACAGGAGTGGTGATAGTGGGCATCCTTGTCTTGTTCCTGATTTTAGCGTGAAAGTTTTCAGTTTTTGACCATTTAGTATGATGTTTAGCCAAGGTATTCTTGATAATAAATTCATAGCATATGTCTACATTTTTTAAAAAATTGAATAAGATAATATATTTTGACCCCCCAAAAATCCATGGGAGAAAACAATAATGTAAGAAGTAAAAATCTATTCCATTTAGTAATTTTCTCTGTGTCTTCCTAACTTTTAAATAGTTGGGTTTTTATTTGAGGTTGTCTGGTGCCTTATGTCTTTTCAGGCCTTAAACACAGACAGTTTAAGAATATCAACTCGCCTGGACTTCCTGGACCAAGAGTTGTCTGAAAAGAGTATGCAGCTCCAGAGCAGCACAGCTGAGGAGAAAACGAAAATTTCAGAACAAGTCCAAGCCCTTCAGAAAGAAAAGGTTCAACTACAGAGACGAAAAAACAGTGTGGACCAGAAACTTAAAAACGGTAGCGTGCTGTCCCCTGAAGTAAGTCCATATTCTTTAGATCTGGAGGTGCTGTATGGTGATGGGTGACCAGCTGATTTCCTTGGTCTCTGTCACACGGTCATAAAAGTGGTGACGTAAACATTGTTTCCTTGAGACTCCATCTGCTGTAATGAGTTCACCTAGCATCTGTTTGGCACATAAACCATGCTTGACTACAGACAGATGTCCCCACTTGCTCGCCCACACATGTGGCTCCTTCCTAGCATTGCCAGGCACTAGAAAACTCATACTTGCCCTAAGTGTGTCCTTCTGATCAGAAATCACACAACACAGAAGATGCTTTGAGGAACCCTCCTCAGTTCTTCCAAGGGCACTCGCCTCTCTCTGTGCATCTTCCTAAGGACACTGATAATTCACTGCCCACCACAGATGCCTGTGCATAAAGGGCTGATTCTGTCCATGGAAGTGGGCTGAGGAGAGGCCAGTGTCTGGGCTATTCCCTGCTATGTCCAGACAAACAGATGTACAAAATTCACATTTCAGCAAGATATCTTTTAGTTTCAGTGTTCATCTAGGAAAGCATGTGCTCCTCTTATTTTTATTTTTAAAATTAGATAAAAGATGGTTCATTCATTGGCTATCAAATTGCCCCATACTTTTTCTTTTTAAAACTTTTCATTTCAGTTGGTAATGGTCACTGTACCTTACTTTATCAGACAGAGGAGCCTCAAAAGAATTTTTGAGGCTCCTTTGTCTGATCATTCTTTTGAGCCTGAGTTTTCTTTGCAAATATTTACTATTAATGTTCAAAGCAAGGGAAAATTGCTAAAAGCAGGCGAGTGGCTGAATTTTGTAGTGTCTTAGATTAGGGCAAGAAGGAGAAAGTTAAGGGGGTAGGGAAGAAGAAACAGAAGGAGTGGCATAGTGGCATAGCATTAATTACTGCTCATTGCACTGACAGAAGGAATTGGAGATTGACGTACATGGGGTTAAGCGGCTGCTGGAGGAGCATCACACCCCTCTACCTCTATGTTGGTAACCTGGTGGCCACACAGGGGTGCACAGTGCCAGGCTGGCCTCCCAGGGGCTTCAGCTGGAGCCTTAAGCTTTGTAGACATGAAAGATGAAAGAGCCTTAGATACAGTGGAGCCTAAGGATTTAAGGAATTGTGCCTGCCTGAGACCATACCAGGCCTTGGGGAGGAAACAGAGAAAGTAGAAAATACAGTATTATGTTCCCCTTGAGAAATTCATACTTTCTCTGGGAAAAGCAGTATGTGTAAGAAATTTAAGAAAACTCTAAATCCCAAAGTACACAAAAAAGCAAGTTATAGCTAAGGCAGTAATGCTGTCATTATTCCATGTATGCAAAGCAGTACAGTGATCATTTAGGGAAAATCCATTAAGGCTGCCTTGGTGGATTAGAATCTTAAGCTGAATGATAACACAGAAGGTACTGGCGAAAGAAGAAGGCCATTCTAGGGAGAACATTGTTAAATAAGGCATAGAGATAGAAATGAGCAAATTATTGCAAAAGTACAGTAAGGTCTGCTAATTACAAAGAAACATTGAGGCTTCTATTTCATGTGGAGTTATTTCTGTACCTCAGACATTTTTTATGGTTTTATGGTGAAAATACAGCATTGTGCATGATTCTTGATTAGTAGCCAACCTAAATTACCCTGAGGGAATGAGAAACCTCCCACAGTTGCTGGGGTTTTATTTGGTTTTAGGAGTTTCTATTCACTCTATGGTGGGTTCTCCATATGTAGCTCTGAAGCAAGCTCTGTTCTCATCACTATTTTAAAGCCAAGATCAATATTCCCCAGTAGATCTGCCAATAGCAGATAATTAGAGGAAACATGGGATTCTAAAGAGACAAAGGACATCAATAAAATCTAGGTGGAATGGTCTGCTATCTTGATATCTTTAAGCTTACTTAAAATCACAGTATTTTGTCTTTCTATAATAAATTATTTTTCTTGATTGTATTATTTTTTAGGAAGTAATAGGCTTTAGATCACCATCCTAAGAGAGAATTAGCCAGCAACTTACTATATGCAGATCACCTCCCCTTTTTCAATAAAATCTAGAAAGTAAAAAAATTGAACTCTAGTTTTTTCTTCCCTCTCTTCCCTCTTCTTTCTTTTTTTTTTTTTTCATTTTTCTTTCCATACTGGGGACTGAATCCTGGGTCTTCACCTGAGCTAAATCTCTAGCTTTTTTTAAAGATGGAGATCTAAGTCACTATAGTTACCCAGCCTGGGCTTAAACTTCCAATCATCTCCCCTCAGCCTTCCAGTGTGCTGAGGTGACAGGTGTGTGCTACCATACCTGGCTTAGTTCTCTTTTTTAGATAGATAGATAGATAGATAGATAGATAGATAGATAGACGATATTTTACTTATATATTGGAACAGTGGTATAATTAATACATGTATACAAAGTATAACAATCAAATTAGGGTAATTAACATTTCAGTCTAATCAAATTTTATCATTTCTATGTAGTGGAAACCTCAGGGCCCTTCTAGTTATCTTGAAATGCAAAATAAATTATAGGCTATAGTTACCCTACTGTACCATGAACATCAGAAGTAATTCCCCCTTCTGTATTGTGGTACCTATTAGCCAACTTCTCTCTGCCCTTCCTACCCTCTAGTGGCCACTATTCTCCTGTCCACTTCTGTGTGATCAACGTTTTTAGCTTCTACAAATAAGTGAGGACATATGGTATTCATCTTGCTGTAGGTGGCTTATTTCATTTAACATAATGTCTTCCAGTTCCTTCCATGCTGCTGCAGATGACAGGAGAGCAACTTGTTTTCTCTTAATACAGAGCTGCTGCCTATAAGTGAGGTTCAGGAAGAAAATATAAGAACTGTTTTTTTTTTTCATCTTTTAAACTTTAAATTCCATGTTTTATGATTAAAATATTCATTTAATTTATGGAGAAATATTCATACAGTATATATGGTGCTCACTTAAAAGTTTTTGTTAGACTTTTGTCTTGTTTTGCTTTTTACTGATAGGGATGTGTGATCTGAAGACCACAGCTTCAGGTCCTTGTTGCTCACAGACTGATCTTTGTGCCAGTGGCAATCCTGGGGAGCAGTATGGTAGACATGCAGACCTCAGGCTCCACCTGGGCCTGCTGGGTCAGGATCTGCATTTTAACAAGCCCCTCAGTGCACATTTAGGTTGGAAAAGCAGTGCACTGTGGTAAAGCATAGTCAGCTCCTCATGACCTGTGGTTTCCCAGGGCAGCCTGTCTGGTCAGCCTGCACCTGCTGCTGAGTTAGTAAGAACATGACCCTTCTGTGATGCAGCACCCCAGAGCAGGCCATTGTCTGGGCTCTGTACTCGTATTATCGTACATTATCTCAGCACTTCCTCAACTCAGATCCGAAACTGTAGAAACTACATTTGTACCACGTACTTTGTTTTCAGCCATGTATAAAGGCAAACTCTGCACATTTTTGTTAAAATGTAAACATAGCATGAATTCAAAAGTGAAATATATTCTTCGGATAATATACTTTTATTTCATGGTTCCTCTTATTCACCTTTCAACATTTAAGGTTTTCTTTTTTTATTCTTAAAAAGGTGACTTATTTCATTCCTTTTAGAGCAGCTGTCAAACTCCCAAACCTCTGATGCTTAGTGATTGCTCAGAGAAGTAGAATGGTTATTGAACATTTTTTCCAAAATGGCTGTTTCAGAAAATTTTGCAAAATGTCCTTTAAAAATGTTTTTCGGGGCCGGGGATTTAGCTCAGTGGTTTCACCACCGGCTGTGCAAGTGCAAGGGCCCGAGTTCGATCCCCAATACCAAAAAAAAAAAAAAAAAATGTTTTTCAACCCCCTTCTAGGTTAGGTTATTACATTTGTTTCTTGAATTCAAAAAAGGAGCTCTAGAAGTCACTGTAACTATTCTTTAAGTAGATCAGAAATATTTACATTATTTTCCTTTGAGATGCTGAAGTGTGAAGAAAAATAATTAAGGGCATGGAAAATATCTTTTTTCCCTCTCTCTTTATTAACTCATCCAACATATACTAAGTTTAAACCTTGTGATAGTACTATTTGGGGCATTCAGGAAGTGAGTATGGGCAAGACAGTCTGCCCTCAGAGAACTTAGTTTAGGAACTTAGACCCCCATAACACATGTAAGAATACAGAAACATACAGTGGTGATCAGAAAATGCAGTGAATTGCAGGCCGAGGATTTAGCTCAGTGGTTCCGCTGCCTGCCTTGCAAGTGCAAAGTCCTGAGTTCGATCCCTGGTACAAAAAGAAAAAAAAAATAGAAAAGAAAATACAGTGAATGTTTAAATTTTTAAAAAATTTATTACAGTAAAAGACACATGGCCATTAATCCTCCTCAAAATATTCCCCTCACTTCGAACACACTTATCCCATCATTATTGCCACTGTCTGAAACAGTTCTGGAAGTCCTCTTTCATGAGTGTCTTCACAGGATATGTTAAAAAAAATATAGTAAATGCTGCTGCCTAGTGCCATCCAACAGAAAGGCTGGCTCATAAAAACATTACAGTGTATTTTCATCCACTTTATTCACAGATCTGGTACTATGAGACTTCTAGCTCTTCCCCAAAGTCACAATTACTGTGAAATTGAATTGATTTGGATATCGACGCAGTCATGGCAGTACAACTAAAGACACTCCAGAACTACTTCAGAAAGTGGCAAGAATGATGAGAGATAAATGTGTGCAAAGCGAGGGGGAGTAACTGAGGGGCATGTATGAAAGATAATGTGTCTTTTAGTGTAATGCATTTAAAACACACACACACATACATCATATGATTTCTCATAGCTCATATATCCAAGTCTCATCAATCTGAAATAATTTCTTTCCAGGTATTTGGTCTTGTTCTCCCCAAATCATATGTGTTTGGATAGATCTAAGAACAAAGAGTCATATGTATTTGGATAGTCAAAATTTATGTATTTGGATAAATATAAGAAGAAAGAGTCACCAGACTTTTTTCCTACAAAAGAAATCTCTGGTATATGAAAAAATGTTATGTTGTCACCATTTTTAATGCCTCTACTGGAATCTTATGAAATGTTTTACTTCCTTATATCTTCACCACTTTTGTTAAGCCATACTTTGTTTTTTCCCTAGAGACTCTTCTCTACTTACTAATTTTAAAGAACTTATTCTAGATACATTTCTTTTCTCTCCTAGAAATATGTTGTTTTGATAGGTTGTTGGAAGAATAGTAGGGGCCTCTAGATTTCACCAGTGGAAACACTGACATATAAAACTCACTTTAGGAATTGTGCAGGAAGATAATAATATCTTGGATTTGGTGACTAGCATTTACTGTGTTACCGTGAAAAGTTTCAGAACTCACCTAGCTTCTGCATCTTTCATTTTATTACACAGGTTTATTGTGAAGATTCAGTGATTCTGTGTTATAAATACACATACACACAGTGAATTGTGTAGCATAGGAAGAACTAAAACATAATTTTCTTAAAATTTAGAAAAAGAATGTTACTGTCCATTAAACTCAAATAGCATAATACGATCTGAGTATATGACAAAGTCCAGATTATACTGTTTCACTTAAAATGAATGATTTCTGTTGTGTCATATCTAGGAGGAACATGTTCTTTTCCAACTTGAAGAAGGGATTGAAGCATTGGAAGCTGCAATTGAATACAAGAATGAGAATATCCAGAGTCGCCAGAACTTGCTTAGAGCATCATTCCAAAATCTCTCTCATAGTGAAGCAAATGTCTTGGAAAAACTAATTTGCCTAAGTCCTGTTGAGATTAGAGCTATTCTTTTGAGATATTTCAATAAGGTTTGTGTTTCAATGGCAATGTTTACTTATAAAGAGGACTCAAGATGCTCCCTATATTTATGTTGAATTTTGAAAGAAATTGAAAGGCTCGAAGATTGATGGCATAACTACAGATTTAATCATGATTTCTCTTCATGATTTCACCTTCTAATACTGATGTTGTCATCTCATCTCCAAGCTCTGATTGTCCAAGCATGTTGGTCTAACTTGGTGAGGTCCTTAAAATTGGAGGGCTTTTCAGTAGGCCTTATTTCAATGGTCTTAAAAATCAAAGAATTTAAATTGTGTTCCTTCCTTATTGTTTCTTGGTTCTAGATTTAGATGTTTCTACACAGCATTCATGAGAAATAAGAAGGCCCTCCAAGGGCCTTTCGTTGCTTTTGGTAGAATAAACCTGTTGTTTCTCGTTATGTGACTTGAAATGGAGATGAGGTGGTACATGGTGGCAAAGGTAGTGATAAATTCTATTAACCTGAATGTGCTTAAATCAATTAAAATATTTTACTTTATATGAATTTAATAATTTACTGATCCAGAGATACTTCATAGCCCTGAGAACTATATCCATATTTTCTTTAACATTTTTTCCACTTAAGATTATATATGATGGAGTGTTAAATAATTGGTTCCTTTTTGTGAAAAGTATATATAAATTATGGGAATATCGGACATTCAACCAAAAACACTGAAGTTTTTTAGAAGTTCTAATAGTGTAAAACAAAAATGAAAATGCTATGAACAGTCTCCTCTTAGAGAATTACTATCAGTAGTGACTGTTACTGATGAGTTTATATCCTGTTGCTGTGTATGTAGAAGGCAAGAAAAAATGATAGAATGTTATTCTAGGTTTAGATGAGACCTTAAAGCAAGGGTTCTTTTTTCAAAAATAAATTATATTTTAATCTTATCCCATTCCTCTCCCCTCAAACCCCCTCCCTTCCTTATGTGCAAAAGAAAGCAAGGGTTCTTAATGCAAGGTACCCTAGTCAAGCTTGGTGAATTTTCTTTTTCTTTTTTTCTGTTTTTTTTTTGGTACCGGGGATCGAACTTGGGACCTTGCACTTATGAGGCAGGCGCCAGAACCACTGAGCTAAATCCCTGGCTGTTTGGTGAATTTTCTGATCTGAGAAACCTTTATAGAATAAGTATTGATCTGGAGAGGTCATTAGATTACTAACAGAGTCTTTGATGCAGACAATGTGGTGTAAGTACATTTACTTAATAATTTATTTCCAGCAGAGAAGAACCCAACAGACAAAAGGCAGGACCTGAAGCTGAACCTCTGTCCTCATGGTTAAAAAAATTCTGTTGCTTACTTATAACATCCATTTTGGCTTTAAAACAGAATTATCTAGATGTTGCAAGAGTCTTTAGCTTCTCAATATCCACATCGACTAGAGAAACAAGAGTTATAGAATTATAAAATGTAAATTACGGCGATCATATCTAAGAATTCTTGACGGGGTGATTATTAGACTAACATTATATTGAAAATGAAAGTGTTACCAATTCAGAATTCCAGCAAATGAAAAAAGCTGTTAGGTTACTTTGTGAGTATATTATCAAGCCTTTGCCAGAGGACTCAGTACTTTTCAAGAAGCACTTATACTATGGAGATTAGGAAATACATCTCTTTGTAGCCCAGGAAAAGTAAATTAATTTATTGTATTAGGCTAAGACACACTTAAAAGTTCAAAAATATCTTTGCTAGGTGGTTAATTTACGAGAAGCTGAACGGAAACAACAGTTACAGAATGAAGAAATTAAAATGAAAGTTCTGGAACGAGATAATATGATTTGTGAGTTAGAATCTGCACTGGAACATCTGAAATTACTGTGTGACCGGAGACTGACTCTCCAGCAAAAGGAACATGAGCAAAAAATGCAGTTGCTGATACATCATTTCCAAGGTGACTGCCCCTTTTTGTCAGTAAAGTGATGGTGGCATCAAGGAAGGAAGATGGTCAGAAACTGATCACCTAAAAGCTCATTTTAAATAATTACAACTTATACAAGTGTTTGGCCTTTGCATAGTTTGATTACCATGTTCTGGGTTAGTTGACTTTGATGTGTAAGGCTCTTCAGGCTTGAAGAATACCTCTTCTGCCTAGACACACACACACGCACACACACACGAACTGCTGCAATCCTGTTAGTCTGTTGTTAATCTAGTTTTTATGTGGAAATGTAGGATTACTTCTAGGTTTCTGATGTACAGTTGAAAGTTTTCTCTCAGTAATGTAGTACTATAATACTTAAATTATTTTCCATCATATGCCTGGTATATTTCTTGTTATAATTTTCAGGTCACTGTAACATTTTATGCATTAAGATTTTATCTTAGGTCAAAATTAGTCTACCACTGATGGGCATATACTGTGGTCAGTGAGCAGCAGTTCAGCACGCACGCTAACACAGAGAGCTCTCTCAACAGCTGGGCTTTGCATTACCTGGGCCTAGGGCCAGGATACAAGCAGCTGCCACAGCAACAAAATCACTGCCAGGTGATACTGTGACTGCTGTAGTGTAGGCTTCTTAGTTCTAATGCTCATGCATCCAGCTGAAAATGGGTCAGAAGCGATCTGGAAGAAACAACCTGAGAAAACAGAGAATTGAGAAATATATGAAATTTAAATGTTGAGGCAACTTGCCTCCAAGTTACTTCTAACTGCTTAACCAACCATCAGTTGCCCAATGACAGGATTTTTTTTTGGAGGATCCTGCCTATCATTCATTGCATCTAAACATGCTCTCCCTACCATACCTAAAGTCTTTAAAAGTGACATTTAAATAAAATTTTTATAGGATTATACATCAAAACCTGGCACCATAGCCAAATGAGAACATTTTTAAAAATCACTCATTTCTAAAGTTACACGTAGTTTTCATAACAAAGTTGAAACTTAAAATATTAACAATTTGTGAATTTTCTAAACTGAGTGAATATGGAACATAAAGTTGTTGATGGATATAAACATACTTTATAGGGATTTCTTTTTGACAGTGCTGGGGGTTGAACTCAGGGCCTCATGCATGCTAGGCTAGTGCTCACTGAGTTACACTCCTGGCCCTACTTTATGGGGACTCTTGATTTATGATGCCATTAAGTTTCAAAATAAGATGATGATAAATTAAGTTTCAAAATAAGATGATGAATTAAACCATAGAAATATACTTAAAATTTTATGAAACATTTGAGTATAACAAAAAATTACAAACCAGTAGAACCATTTTATAAATATGTCAGCAAGAGAGAATAGGTCCTAAAGTATGTATTTTCTGAAAGTCAGCTGCTAGGTTTTATTGTTTCAGAACAATGATTGATTCATAAGTATGAGAGGCTTCAAGTTCTATTGTTGCATAAAGTAGAATTTAATGCTGTGTATTTCCTTATTTTTCTGTGTTTATCTTTGTGATTTAATTTTTCTAGTCTCTTAACAACTTTTTTTGTGGAGGTGTGGCTATATATTTCTTAGGTCTGCAAACCCTAGACTTATGATTTTCCATATAACCACAGTTCCCAATACAAACTTTGAGTAAGATATTAATACAGTTGCTAGATGGAGTTCTAAGCATGTGAACTTTTTGTAGGAAGTACTACTTATGCTGTTGTAAAATCTTGTTAGTAGCAAATGAAAAATAAGTTTATGAATCATGAGTATGTTGTGGTTAATAGGGGATGGGGTAGAGAAGGTAACTATGGGTACAACCTTTCAAAAAATTTTACAGGCAGAAGGATCCAAATTGTAGGAGAAAACAAATTCATTAAGGTAACAGATAGTGTAATACACATCTGACCCTTTAAAGATAGTCTGCATCTATGTTAAGGATTTAGCTCAGTGGTTCTGCTGCCTGCCTCACAAGCTCAAGTCCCGAGTTCAATCCCCGGTACCCAAAAAACCCCCATAATTTAAAACTTTATTTAAAACCAAGTTAAAATGTAAATTTTTGCTTTATAGAGCAAGATGGAGAAGGCATTGTAGAATCTTTAAAAATATATGAAGATAAAATCCAGCAGTTGGAAAAAGACCTTTATTTCTATAAGAAAACCAGCAGAGATCTTAAGAAGAAACTTAAAGAAGTGGCACAGGAAGCAGTTCAGTGGCCACCAGCATTACCAGAACGTAAGGCTTTTGCTGTTACTATGACACCTACACTGTTTCTCTGGGATTTGGTAGAGTCATGCCTGGTTTACAGTATAGGGTTTCCCAAGTGACTTGATTACAGTGTAACAGTTAACTTCTATTTGTCTCTATAGCAAAAATAGTTGTTTTTTTGTATGTATAAAATACAGCCCCATGAAAAGTGAATGAATGAATGTATATTTGTAAAGGAAACAGTCATTAAAAAGGGTTTTTTTGTATTTTTCCAGAGGACAAGGCATTATTTACCACGGAAAATACTTAGAACAAATTTGAAAATTAAAGAACAATGAGGTTGAGTATGAAATATTATTCCAAAAGAACGTTAACTCAAATAAAGGTTGCTGCAAATAATATCTTCTGTAATATAAATGCTAGGGTTATTCTTCAGTGGATTCATGAATCTCTTCAATACGTTCATCATTTGGAATGTAAACACTGCTGGGAGAGTCACTCATTTTATTTCTAGCACTGATCATAGATTGGCACTATAAACTTTAATTTTCTCTAATTTTTCTTAACAGTTGAGGAGTGCAGTTCTCTTTGTAAAAATATTTAAATATGTAAAATACAAATTACTAAATAAAACTATAAACTACCTAAAACTGTAGGATATGATCATCTGTTATTCTAAACATGCCAGTTAGTGGCTTTGTAGACCTTAATTTATTTAATCCTTAAAATAACCCTATAATTTAAATTAGTTGTTGTTTTCCTGCTTTATAGTAAACTAAGCCATCTGATTGCCATTAAAAGAGATGTGTAGGGCCGGGGATTTAGCTCAGTGGTTCTGCTGCCTGCTGCGCAAGCACAAGGACCCGAGTTCGATCCCTGGTACCAAAAAAAAAAAGGAGATGTGTAATAGAACTATTTGGTAAAAGTATATGTATTTCTAAGATAAATCAGATCTTTTGTATTATGATCTGTGGAAATTAATATGATAAAATGCGTTGTTGAGACAGACTGTCCTTGCATAATTATATGTAGAGGGCCGGGGATTTAGTTCAGTGGTTCCAGCGCCTACCTCGAAAGCGCAAGGTCCCGAGTTCAATCCCTGGTACCAAAAAAAAAAAATTATATGTAGATATGTGGAATTAGCATCTTTGTAAACAAAATGATCAAATATGGCAAAATACTCTGCCAAAGTAAAAAGTACCATGAAAGTAATATGTTACTATGATTAAAATATACCCCCTTTAATAAAACTAGAGAGGAATAAATATTTCTAAACTAACATTTTATCAAAGAATTAGTCTTTCTTTAGAGAATATTCTTCTAAGAATTTATAGGCTGTGAAAAGTTGACTTTTTTTTCCTTTTAAGAGTAGGAAGTATTTATTGAGGGAAAGATAGTTTCCAAGAGAGACAGAAGGAAGCTTGTAAAATGGGATGCCCTGAAAAGTTGACTTTAAAATCTCTTAGAAATAAACCTATTTTGTACCTTTTAAGAAAACGACTTAAAGATGGACACACAAGAAGATACAAAGAAGTCAGTGAAGAACTATATTTATGTGCAGTGATAATCATAGCTACTAGGGATCCTGAGGCAGGAGGATTTCAAATTCAAGGCCATACCCTGAGTCAAAATTACAAAAAAAAGCTATAAAAAGAGCTGGAGGTGTAGCTCAGTGGTGGAGCACACACCTAGCATGTGCAAGGGCCTGGCTTCCATTGCCAGTGCTGAAAAAATATACTCATGTGCAATGAAAAGATATATGCTGAATATAGAATATATGTAACATAGTTTTAAAATTCAAAAGTCAGTAGTATTTTACAAAAGTAGTTCTCATGCTACGTTATGCAAATAGTTATATACAGATATTTTCACAAATACTTTTATTTAACCTTCAAACTCAGGGTAGGCCAGTGTCTGCTAAGCCCATTTTTTTCATGAGGCAGTAAAGCTTAGAGAGGCCAAGGGACAACAAACAGACTGTAATTAAAATATGGTTGAACGTTCCTCATCTTCTAACGCTGGTCCAGTGTTGTAGGATAAGAGTTGTTTTAGGATAGAGATGTGATGCAAACATTCACACACTGCCAAGGAGACTAAACATTCTGATTATCCATGGAGGAGTGCAGAAGTGCTCACTGACATAACTCATTTCCTTAAAATACTACCTGCAATACGTAGTTGAAACGTTTTCTTGAAACAGTACTTGCAGAAATTTAAAAGTTGCCAAGCGTGGTGGGGCATACCTATAATCCCAGCGCTTGGGAGGCTGAAGCAGGAGGATCACCATGAGTTTGAGGCAAGCCTAGGTTACTAGTGAGTTCAAGGCCAGTCTGAACTACATAGCAAGGCCCTGTCTTAAAAAATAAAGAAAAACAAAAGCAAAAAATTTGAAAAATAAACAAGTATTAAGGAAAAGACAGAACAACCAGTATATGACCATCCTAGATTTTTTTTTTTTCTTTTTTGGTACCAGGGATCTAACTCAGGACCTTGTGCTTACGAAGCAGGCAGTGGAACCACTGAGCTAAATCCCTGGCCCTCAACCTAGCATTTTTTAAAAACCCACTTTCAGGGCTGGTGGTATAGCTCAGTGGTAGAGGGTATGCTCATCATGTGTGAAGCCCTCGGTTTGATCCCCAGCCAAAAAAATAAACAACCCCTACTCGTTTTCAGATTTCAGGTACCTGGAATTAGATGTCAAGTCTGTAAATGGCCTGTGTTTATGCGACTGAGTTTACTAGACAGTGCTTTTAAATGACAGTGTGGTGTGGTGGTATAAAGATCTAAGAAAACTATGTCCTCATCTTGCTCTCCAAGAAAACAGACACAGCTAAAAGCCAATCTTGGGGAGGTGTAAAAGGTGGATAACACTTGTCTGACCAACCTGCCTAAGAAGTGTACTTCTGATAATATTGTTGAAAATTTATTTCAGCTTATTTGTTATTCTACCTAGAAACATTTTAAATGCTCTTTTGGCTATAAAAAGTAATTAATAGTATTATAGAAAAAATTTGAAAATATAGGAGAAAAAAACCAAATCACCCATAAGCATAATTTTAGCATAATTCTTTTCATAGCTTCATGTTTTAAAAATTACACTTGCAGTCATATTGGGAATTTATCTTATACTGTGTCCTATCTTAAAATGCTACTTTAGGCCGGGTGTGATGGTGCCTATAATCCCAGCACTCAGGAGGTTGAGGCAGGAGGATTGCCTGGAGTTCAAGGCCAGCCTGGATACATACTGAGTCTCTGTCTCAAATAAGAAAACAAACAAGCAACTTTATTTATTTATTTTTGTTAAATTCTTTTATTGGTACAGTTTAGGTATACAACACAATTACATTTCTCATTGGGAATTGTACCTTTACATAATGCATCTTG